AAGCCAGGGCGCAGCGCTCGCCTCCCCGCCCCGCTTCTCCCCGCCGCCGAAAAGGCCTGAGAAGCAGCAGGCAGCTGGAGGCCGTGGAGGCGCGGAGGCCGAGGCCATCACCAAAAAGGTACGTCGGGAAGCGCAGCGGAAAGCGGGGTCACGGCCTGCCCTGCTTACAGCTGGGGCATCTCCATGAGTCTTCTGGGGAGAGGTCAAACCACGTCGCTTTCTGTTGCGCTTCCATGTTTCGTGCCAAGCGAGCGCCGGCGACGTTATCTTGGCCAATAAAACGGGGGCGGGCGGGGAGCAAGTTTGAGCACTGGGGCACAGAGCGTCCGTACGGCTTAACAAGCTACGTGCGCTCCAGCCCGGTTCGCGCACGCCGACTGCTGCTCTCCGAAGCAGTGCCCTGGCAGGTTTCAGGGGATCGTAGGCACCCAGAACTGCTCCCAAAGGGCAGAAGGACCATACGAGATCTGGTTCCTTTCACACGGCGCAGACCTCTAATACTATTTTGACGGGTTGCGTACCCTCAGACCGCCTCAGTGCTGTCACCCCGCACCTCGGTGTTGAACACGTTCTCCGCTGCACCCTGTAAAACACTGCTCTGCAGGGCTGTAGCACAACAGACTATTTCAGGCACTCTGTACTAGAAGTTGTGCAGAAAAGATCAACTGTGTATTAGCTAGCGTCAGCAGGGCAAGCCAAGCTATGCGTTACACAATGTGGATGCGGCTCTACCAAGACACTGATACCAGGGCCAGAGGGTTTGCCCTGTTTTACATAGTAGGATAGATGTTGCTTTTGAGATAGAGCATGTACTAGCGTATTGTTATTTGACATCTGTAGCACTATGCTGCAAGTCTCCCTATCCTTCTCTCTGTGCAAAGTAGAGATGTGATCGTATCTGTTAATATTTCTCAGAATCCTGTTTTCTACCTTAATCCTGCTGCCTGAGTTACTGAAGCATGAATGTGGGGAATTTGTTTCTAAGGAAGATAGTAAAGATAACTAGAAAGTCTAATACAAGCAAAGAGCAATGTGACATAACTTATACGTGCTCCTAAAAAATGTTGTGTCTGGAACTAACTTCCTTATTCTCTATGTTCCTGCAATGGTTAACATTGCAACGTGGTTAACGTTAACAAATTTAAGTCTTACTGCTGACTTACAAGCAGATTAGTTTACTTACAAATGTATAATGTCTGTATACATGAAATAAAATAGCAGTGAGCGCATATTTTTCCATCGTATCAACACAAAATCTGGTCCTACTGAAAGTGTAGAGCTTTTTCTTACTCAAATACAGAAGCAAGCTGAGAGCTTTAGAAAAAAACATGTTGATATCTTCTTGTTTTCTGTTCAGATTTTTCTTACAGTATCTGCAACTTTGAATACCAGTATGTTCACTGAACAGCAAAGGGAGAAAATTACCATGATATGTCCAAATTTAAGAAGAGAAAGAAATCCTGGTATTGATGACTCTGAGACACTGACCGGTGATTATACAGATATTGAAAAAGTGTATCACTACTTTAAGGATCTCATTGCAGGCACTGACCAACGCCATGATTTTTCACATTCTGAAAGTAAGAGTGATTTGAAAGGTGAAAAAGGTCTGAATACTGAAGAAGCGCTTCAAGTTCCGACAGCTCTCTACGAATACTTCAGTCATGCCTGCAAAGAACAAATTAAAGAGCTATGTGAACGTTTTGGAGTGGGTATAAAAAGTAAAGACGGTGACAGTGGAAACACATCCATATGCTTCACTTCTGATACAAGCCCCACATCAGTACAGACAGCTAGAGATTTTTTTATCGGGGTTTTTCAGAAAAATGTAGCAGATCTGAAGCAGGATACAATTCCCTTAACAAACAGTAGCCAGTTAAATGAGAGAATAATGCAATTAAATGCTAGGTTTAGTAATCTTCTTGCCAAACAGGAAGGGAACCGATTGCTACTCCGTGGTCCAATAAGTGAGATTTCAGCTGCCAAAAAATTTCTAGCAGAGGAAAGTGAGAACAGCCAAGCTAAAAAGAATATAAATATATCATCTGAACTTTACAAATATAGGAATGGAATTGAAGTTGATGCTTCTGAGTTTAAACTGTTGGAAACAGTATTAAATAAAGAAATTGAAGATATTAAACAAAATTTTGACACTGTAGTGGAAAAGAGAGACAGTTCACATGGCCAGAAGGTGGTCATCATATTTAGGCCTAGGATCAAAATTTTTGATCTGTCTTCACACGCTACTGAAAGTTTCATCAATGCATTTCAGAATGCCTCTGCAATGCTAAAAGAAAAAGTCATCAGCTCGAAGCTTTCAGAAGATCGTAAAAAAAGATTAAATATGCTTCTTGATGGAAAACAATTAGAAAATCAGCATATAAAAATTAAGAAGAAGGAAGACAAATTTGTTTTATGTGGTTTACCAAAGCATCTCCATGCTGCTGAAAGGCACATTATGAGCCTTCTTGACATTGAAGACTCTGCACAAGCTAAAAATAGGACAGCACTGGCTTCTGATCTCAGCCATCAAGAAGCTTCGAGAGTGTCTGAGATGAAATACAGTAGTAAGCAAAAGAATGATTTTTCTTCCAAAGAACAAGCTAAGCCAAAGACAGAGGATGAAGGACAGGACAAAGATATGTGTCCTATTTGCAGGGACAGATTTAACAATAAGGAAGTACTGACAAAGTGCAAACATGCATTTTGCAGAAGTTGCATTCAACAAGCAATGACTTACAAGAAAGCTTGTCCTGTTTGTAATACCTGCTATGGGCTCATGCAAGGAGATCAACCAGAAGGAGCAATGTTATTTAGAACCATTCGAGCCCAACTCCCTGGTTATCCCAGATGTGATACTATTGAGATTACTTATGTTATGCACAGTGGTATTCAAACTGTAAGTATATTTAAAGATGCATTAAATGTATTTTTCCCCTAATAAAGCCAGTGTTGAATGTTCAGTGTTTTCCATCATTTTCATGTATGTGCTCGAGAGACATTTCTTTGTTCTGTACAATTCTGCAAGCATTTAATCCCATAATTTTGGGTGGGATTAGATAATACTGTGGGTAGTCAAATGGCAGCCCTCCATCTTATATTCATCAGGACTGAGCTACCTGTCTTTAATTTTTATATTGCGAATAACTGAACTGAAATCTACAGAGTTTTGTGTACACGATATCAGTCTAAGCAATAATGAGGTTTCTTTAAGGCGTTCTCTTAGCTACTGACAACAGTTGACGAAAATGAGTATCAGACTGATTTGTAAGCATTTCAGGTAAGAGATCAGCTTATGTTATGTGTTTGGAGTTAGGACTGGGCCTGAAAACGTAGAGAATGAAAACATCAGGAGTAGGGTGAAATGCATTTGAGAGAGCAAAGAATAAAAAAGTTATATTTAGAGGTAACAATGAATGCATGATGAGAAGAAAATGTGAAACATATATGAAAAAAATGCTATAATGAGAAAAAAACTCAAAATCAGTCATGCTGTGTCATTCTGAATGGCATGAAGATAGGCATAAAAAACACTGTGAAAGCTGGGACGTGTGATTTTCACACTTTTGAAGAACTTCTGATACACAATGCATTTTTGCTTTGTTTTTCTACAAAACCAGAACAACCATCCAAACCCAGGAAAACCTTATGATGGAACCACTCGAAGAGCGTATTTACCTGACAATAAGGAAGGACAAGAAATTCTGCAGCTCCTTAGAAGAGCCTTTGACCAAAAATTAATTTTCACAGTGGGGCAGTCACGTACTACTGGCGCACAAGGTGTTATCACATGGAATGATATTCACCATAAAACGCAAATGGATGGAGGACCTACCAAGTAAGTAGTTTTATCTTTAAGTAATTTTACTGCTCTTCAGATGTAGCAGGATGGCTATGAGTATTTTCCACATTTGAGCTTTCAGATTTCGAATAGCAGTGCCAGTCATTGGCAAGTCTGAATTATCTGCCCTGGTTTGTCACTTAGCAAAGTGACACTGTAGAATGCTCTATGAATCCAGATTTGATCCACCTTCACTGCTTTGCATGGCTGTGGCGTGGTGGATGCTCCACTCACCCAAAACGTTTCTGGTGATAGCACACAGGTTTAGCACCAGCAGTGTAAGCGGTGGTAAGTAAGGCAAAAGCAGTATTACGTTTAGCACTTGATACTTGCATCACAGAGCCAGACTGGACCCTTGAAACAAGGATGTGCTTAGTCTTCTGTCACTCCTCAAGCCACTCAGTCACCTCACTTGGAGACGTTTCCAGGCTGATTTTTAGAAAGCTGCATACCCAAGTGTCATACTGTTTTGAAGTGAGACAGTGGGCAGCTCTGAAAATCAGATTCTTAGTGTCAGTTTGGACACCCAAATTCAGCAGCTGTTTTTTGTAAATTTTTAGCTTTACCCTTTCCGTACTGCTTCTCACCTGTAAAATAGGGTCTGTCTCCTTTGTAGACGAAGGGGTAAGTACATACAATTTGAAAGTGTTTTAAGGGACTTGGATGAGAGGGTTCTGTAGAACTGTCAAATAGTTCATTGCAGAAGTAGCCCAAGCAATTATTTTCTTCTTCTCCTAGTTTTGGTTACCCTGATCCTAATTACCTGCAGCGGGTTCGATCAGAACTGAAAGCAAGAGGAATTGAGTAAAGAATCCTATCAGCTCTCTGCCTTTAAATGTAATAACGGAACATATAGCAGTTAATCTACTATTTAAGGACTAAGAAGAAAGAAGTTACTTTGTTCAGTTGCCATACTTCCTTTTTAAAATCGCCAAATTTATTTGTATAAATACAAATAAATTGTATTTCATAGTTAGCTGAAGAAAAGTAATCTGTTTTGGTCACAAGATATATGTCCTTTTTACAAACCTTTTACTTGCTTGAATCATGCTTTCTTATATAAGTAACATGCAGAATTTGGGTCTTCTGAGTGCAGCATCAGTATTTCTTGATACTCTTTTATTATTTCATGATTGATTATGTATCAGCATTGATTTGCTAATTGATAGAATTTAAGGAAATTGAAACTTTACAGATTTGCATTGAATTCAGCAAAAACTTTGGCTGCAAATGCAGAAGAAGATACTTGGAAAACTTTAAGACATGCTTCATCTTTTTCTAGCTAAAATGCTTCAGAAGATGCAAAACATTTCTAGATTAGAACGCTCATTTTGATTTGTAAATGTAATTTTTAAATTACCCATTTTTTTTTAGGAAAGAGGTTAAACTTGTTTAACCTGAAACTAATTAGGTAATTTCCAATCAAATTAAATATTTCTGATTGACATAAAACCAAATACCAAGCTATATATCTTTTTCTGATTTTACCAGTGAATCTGAGGTTCATTTTTTCCCTAAAGTCTTCAGTGTGGCCACCAAATGACGAAGCTATTACTGGCTTTTCTTTAATCAAACACTTAGCCTTTACACTACATGCACTACAGCTTTTACAACTGTCATCGTGGATAGGATCATATAGCCATCTGCTGGAAGATATTTATGTAGTTGTTACCAGTTGTATATAGCTAAGAACTTTTGCTTCTTTCCCTTTTCAGGGAGAAAATGTCATTAGCGATTTGGGTTTTAAATGTGAAATTAGCATGAATAATGTTGTTGTATGATGGGGTATGTGGATGCTGCTGGATTTTTAACTCTGTGCAGAAATGCTGGATGCTCAACGCCTCATTGGAGCAAATGGAAAGCATCAGTGCCTATGACCAGCTCTGATAAAGAGGCCCTGGTTCTGAGCACTTCATTGTGTTTAAGCTTAAATATAACTTTTAAGTCAACTTTGCATGTAACAACACTATATTTTTCCCATTGCTTTCAAATATGGTTTAAATTTTATTATAAAGATACTTTGCTGCTACTCCATGCTGTCTAAATCACCTGCTCCTTGTGTTTGTGATGTTGTAAAATGAGTAGCTTTGACTTAAAGCAGTTGATAATTGCTAGTGAACTACAAAATGTCCATAGGCTATTGAACAAGGGTAAAAATATCATCTGCTCAATTACATTCCTCTTTGTAAGTTCCTTAAAATTCCTCCTGTTTTAGATAGTAGAGTTCTGTAATTTTTAAGAGCTTCCAAGACACCTCTCCAAAGTGATTTGGACTCAGTGACTCTTAAGATTCCCACATTGTTAATAGGCAATACTACTCCACCACCTTGACTTTCAGATTTCTTTGTAGTGGGTACTCTCAGGTTTCCGTTTGAATTGGGATGACTTTTTCCCTGTGATTTTGTTTTACTTAATTTAGTTTTACATTCTCTCACTGTTTCAAGTTTCTTCCATTTTCCGTGCAGTGAGACACAAACACACTAGTTGTTTCTGCATACTGAAACCAGCTGAGTAGCCTAAATTCTCCCCAACTTCTTCTTTGAGTCTGTCTTTTCACTTTCTATCCCAACCAGTTTACCCACATCAGACGTCTAACTAAAAAGTCACCTGCTTATCTTTTATCTGTAGTAAGGTTTTATAGGCTGAGGGCTAACATAGGAGTGGAAGAGTCCTAACTGCTGTCACTTCAAGTTCCCAAACCTTCATCCTATAACCATAGCTGCACAGTTCAGGAATAAATCTATTTTGCAATCAAAGTCAGTTATTTTGCCTGGGGACAGTGAGGGAAGAAAGCATGTGACTGTAACTAACTGCTGAGAGAACAGTGCTTTAGGAAACAGATTTATCACGCACCAAGAAACAAAGGAATTCTGGTGGATCCACTCAAGCTGTGTGTCTGGTAACACAGCAAATCCATCCACATTTATGGTATTTAATGATATCTGGTTATTAACCAATGTTTCTTTAATGAACTTTCATTGAAGAGTAGGGGAAAATATTTTCATTTTTTTATCGCACTATTTTAAGTGCCAAGTTTCTCATATGTGGGCGGAGTAGTAAAAACATGCAGCAAAAATAGCCAGTTAGAAACCAAAACCTTAAGAATTCAACCGCCATAATAGTTTATTTCACGGGAAGTTCTGAACTTTCAGTAGAAAGTTTCTCAGCTAGGTTAAATGTTGGTCAGGAGGAAAATCTTCCCTTGCAGCCTTGACTATTTTTAGTAGTACTTCCTACAGAGAATTGTGAAAACAAGATAATTGTATTTTGCAGCATAATCTGAAAATGTAGTGCATAAAAGACCAAATTTGCTACTACCTAAAATCCCTGTTTGGTATTATCCAAAATCCCTGACTGCTCTAAACTCAGACATTGAAAACGCTGTTATGTTTGAAATCGGCTCACTGCCTGGCTCGAAGAGGGTACAGTGCCACACTGATTTATGCAATAAAGCGGGTTATATGGCAACACGCCCCCGGGTGCTTCGTGCGGGCGGCGGCACGTTGTCTCGCACTTCCAGCACCAGACGCGAGGGGCTGCGGCCTCGCCTCCTCCGCGGCGGGGCGGAGCCCGGCGCTGGCGCTTTCCTCTCGCCGGGGAAATGAAAGCGAAAGC